ATGCTTAGTTCAGACTATTAGACAGGCAAGCACTGCTCGCCTGACCCAGTTTTCCATGGAGAGTAATGTAGCAGTGCTGATTGAACTCAAGAAAGAGAGTTTGCGGTAAGCACTTTGCTCAATGTTATCTGTCAACTTCATATCAGGACGCATTCATTTCTCAGCAAGCAATAAAAATAAACCTGAGTGACATGAGCACACACATCATAGACTGTACTTGTCACCATTCTTCCAGTCCCTGCTAACTGCAACACACCATTCCTGAGTCCAACTGCTGAAATGAACATAGAAATGTTAACCCTTGAGGAGGCTGAGCCGTAGGACAGTAATAAGGCTACAAAACCCAAGCCAGATCTGTGGTTTCACTCCTTACAATAACCCTTCAGGAAAAGAAAAAAATCAAATTATAGCTTATGTGAGTCATTCAATATACTATAATATGTCGGCTAATAATTATTAAATTTTACTAGATCCATCGAAGAGCTGAAGTAGCAGAAAAGTTTGCCATTTTTATACCAACTTACCTTCCTTTTTCTTCCATACCTCCTTCCTCCTCTCTTTTACCTTTCTCTCTTCCTTCTTCCCTCCTCAATTGCTCTCGATATTTATCTCTATCTCTTCCCTCACTATCTCTACCTCCTTGATCTCTATCTCTTCTTTTCCCTCTTGTCTTGCTGCTCTGTTTTGCTTTCCTTTTTTGATAGCTGCCATTAACCAACTGGAACATTTTGAATGAAACACCAAAGATACTTTGGTGAAAACATATTCCTAGGTAAAATGGATTTATATTTCTAAGTGTGATGGCAGGAACATCCCTGTGGCTGTAATTGGTTTGCAGTTTTCCCTCCTCCCACTCCTGAGCAGTGAGGAAGAGGAAAGCTCTTCTTGGCTCCCTCCATCCCTGAACACTAGGACTCCACACAGCATGGGTGGGCATGCCTTCACATTTCATTTAGGTGGATTTAGAACAAGAAGTTTAGGTCATCCGTTAAAATGTCCTTAAAACTCTCCAGATCTTTCCCAAGGCTATTTCTTTCCTCTCTTACACCTCCATGAGAGATCTTGATGCTTCCTTTTCTGTCTTAACTTCCCGTTGCTTGTGACCAGTGCTTCTGTTCTTCTGTTTGACTACTGCATAAATCCACAGTCTGGGTGATTTCCTCCATTTCCCAGTCCCTGAAGCAAACCCAGACTATTGAGGTTTTCTAAGGGCTTTCACTGTAAATAATAAAAGAAAACTAAAGTGAAACAAAGCTGCCTCCGGGACCACCATGGGAACCAGACACTGCTTTAATGGCATGTAATACCCCAAATGAGGAGTCAAGTCTTAAGCAACCTGAGGAGTTGAAAAGTTGAGGACAGACGCTATCAAGCTCAATGCATGGCAGAATGCACAGGATCTTAATTCCTCTTGGTGGTGGTTGCTACCAGTACTTTTGATGCCCTGTACCCATCTGGAAGAGCATAGGTCAGGTGCTGTGCAGTAGTATGGATAAAGAAAAAGATTCAAAGTAAATGAAATGAGCTCGTCACAAGCAACTCACAGGGCAAAATAAATGATGCCAAAGAGAAGGAATGACGCTCCAATGATGTTAGCCAAATCTTACTGTGAGTTAGGTCACACAACTTGAACACTGTTGTATATTCAGATGAAAATAGTCATAGTATTAAACTTGTGCACTGATTACAGGGAAAGCAGTTACTTGTGACATTTCATTCCAAGCTTCAATTTGTTCATTCATCCTAAGTTTCTTATTTTTTTCATACTGAAACAATTCATTTTCTTATTTTTAAATCTTTTCTGAAAAGCAGATAGGTAAAATTCTCTGCAAAGAATATTGTCACTTAAGTCGCTGCCCCTGAATTCTCATAAGCTGAGGGCTAATAGGAAAATCATATAAGTATTCTTGCATTAATTAAAAGATAAGATTTAAGGGAGCCTGATACTTCCCCCATATCATAATCCTATATAATGTAACATATTCTGGTGCTAGTTTCCATCTTTGTGAAACATGTCTTATCTGGAAGAATAAAACAATTTCTACTAGCATTTTCACAGCTTTTGATTTATGTTTTTATAGTAAAACAAAACCCCATTAAAAACAGAAACCACAAAAAAAGGAATGTGGTCTTTATAGGAAGTAAGGTTATCAGAGTAACATTTATTACTAAGAGGCTAATTCATGTATTCAGCCAAGACTGTCAGCAGAATTAAGAAGACTGGTTTTGTGCACTTTAAGGAAGCTTTCCTAACTTGACAATGTCCATATGTAAGGTCAGTTGAATTGCTTTCAATCTTCTACTTAGCCAAAACAAATTATTTCCCCCTTATTGTGTCTTGCCAAAATTCAGATCTATTGTTTTGTAACTTAAAATGAAATAAACCTTGACTGAAGAACAATACAAAAACACACAGCAGAAGTTTGTGTGATGAGGAGAACCATTTTCTTCTGAATGGATATGTGTTATTTAGACTAAAATAATAGAATGGAGCAAAGAAAGGTGCCTGGAGAGTGGGTGTAAATTGTAGCACTACCATCAGTCATAATAACATCGAAGTTCTGAAATAATGCAAGGGTGACTTTTATATTAACAAAAATAGGTCATCTAAAACCAACAAATGGATACCAAAAAGGGATATGTACAACAAAACTGAGATTTTTCTTTGTTATATTTTGCTTTTATATATCCTGCTGTTGGATCTGAAAACTATGGGAACTCAAGAGTCTTTTCAAGCCGGGTTTTTCTTTTTTCTCCTACATTGAAATTAGTGTATCACCTTTCCTTTTTTCTAGTACTTTGATTTTTTTTCTACAAAATTTAAATTTTCAACAACCAATTTTCTGAACATGATCGAGTCAAGATTTGCTTACACATTGGATATATAACTTGGTTTTCCACACAGGAAATCTGTTAGTCAAGCTTGTCCTCTTCTGAAGAATTGAGAAAAGGGATGGATGGGAAGACAGGATAGGGTAGGCTGGTAGCACCACCTATGGGCCAGTCCTCATTTAAGCGAAAAGAATTCTTTTTCTGGGGACTGATTTATGTCCTTGACTTTATGACCATATTTCCTTTCCTAGTATATTGTTTAGCACTATTCTAAGATAGATGTCAATACTAGATTGGTTCTATTTTATTTTTCACTTTTTCTTACTATACATTTATTTATACAGCTTGACCCAAATTCCTACCGTGACATTGCTATTCAAAAACCATTATTTCTAATCATTCACTTACAGAAATTAAATAATGTCATAGTAATTGACAGACCATCAGATTTTATGATTTTTATGATTTTATGATTTTTATTGTGCATAGAAATCTTATTTTCAAAACCATTTTATACAGAACATATAGTTTCAAGGACCAGTAAATATAAAACTCAAAGGTATCTTAAACATTGAATGTTCTATTTCCACTATAAAGCAATGAAACAATATTTTATTATATGTGCTCACAGCCTGTCAAAGTCACTGTGGAAAGTAAAAATTTTTGTCTAATTTCTTATTTAATATGTTGAAAACCAAAACCAAATTAAAAGTGAATTATCACATACTAGTTCTTTGAATCATTTTTGTTGGTTTTGGGTTGTTGTTGTTGTTGTGGTTGTTGTTGTTGTTTTCCAAAACAAACTCTTGCAAACCAAGTGTTTGTGTAAAGTTGTTAGATCCATATTTAACAGCTGTGAGTTTATTTCTATAATATATTGGCACAACATCAATAATGATGTGTATGTATTTCATTTACAAGCTAATATCATTTAAAAATTCAGTGATTTTTAAATCTTCTCTAACTTTATTCATTAGAAAGAAATTCATAAAGCCTTATAAGAGGTACATTTATACTTGCTTTTGCTCTCAAGTTTCTACATTCACCTTTGTTATGCTTTTGGAAATGCCTTTGATCAAATGATCACTTTGTAGAGCATAGTTAACCAAACAGACATGAAGGGATGAGTCTAGAATGTTAACATTGATATAAGTTGCTATTGAAAAGTTTTGAAAACTTGCTCTTGCCCTAAGCCCCTAAGACAACTCACTTTTCAGTTCTAGTCCAGCTCCCAAGTACTGTTTGTCAAATGGCTTTTAGTAGGTAGTAATAATAGTTTATATATCATATACTTTATGGGTTGTATGTAGGAAATACATATCAATCCTATTTCTATATGGTTTGTATTTCATATGGTACATATGGAAATATAATTAAATTTATAGATCCTGTTTACATAATTAAAAATATAAGGAAAATTTTGCTGAATATTGTCAATAGATTAAAAAATATTCATGCCCACATCCCAAAGAGAAGTTCAAAATGATTAAATTTTGACAAATGTGCTGAACATGCAGTTTCCAAATGGATTTCTTTTGCAATGCTCAGTTTTTCTAAGATTATTTTAAGATTAGAATTTTAATAAATTATGGTTGACCAACCCTCAGATTTGTGATAAAATATGACTGTTAAATAAAGCTAGATTTAGTTGCTTAAATTTTATTCTTTTAAGGAAAACAGCTGAATTACTAAAAGTACCAAAAAGCAGAGATGGCCAAAGGATACTAGGCTTGGTAGAACCAGAATAACTTTAAATGAAATCTCATAGCTATTTTGAATGGACTTACCTTTATTCATGTCTAAATAAATTTATAGAATTTCTAAAATAAAAATGAAAATAAATTAGATAATAATAAATTAAATAAATTAATAATCTAGAAAGACCCTTTCAGCAATCAGTATATCGCTTACTTTACACAGGAAAGTGAAAGATTTTTCCAAGACCCTTTGTTCTATTGCTAAAATTGTGTCTCACATCCTGTAAATGCTGCCAGTGGGAGGGAACCTGCTGCCCTGTGACTGTTTTTCTCTTTGAATGATAGTGATGGAGCACTTGCATGATGTGTTTGATGCCTTGCATGAGGAAGACATGCAAAGGCAAGGTCCAGTCTGCATGCTGCTTAATGAATGTTTTTCCTTTTCTCTCCCTCCTTGTTATGTGCTTTCAGAAGACAACAATGTGGAAGGTGGGTGCTTTCTACCTTATTTTCCTATCCTCTTTTGCCTTTTAATTTCGTAGTATTAGTAGGCTACATCTCGAATTTAGACGGTAAGTTGAACTTCTTTCTGAGCATTTGTTGATTTCTGGATCTTGTATCACTTTTCGTATAGAACTCTCTCACACACACATACACACACATACACACGCATGTGCGCACATGCACATACACACACATTTCATCAACCCCAAATATAAGAAAGTCAGTCTTATCTCCATCTTTTGATGGGTTTCAGCATCCCACATGGGCCTTGGAATACTTACTTATGTTCTCTATGGAAAAATGATACAATGCTCCATCTTCTTTTATTCTAAAAGAGAAACTATGTCTTCATAGCTCCAGAATACAGTGCATGACTTTACTCCATGTTTTATTGCTCAAAATGATTTCCTCTTTTTTGTTGGAAATGTTTGTCATGGTCATTTCAAGCCCATTGATTTGTTTCAAATGATTTGATTTATGAAAAGAACATAGAACAAAATGCTGACTATAAGTAAAAAATCATATATTTAGATTTAAAAACCTAAGCCATTGGCCATTGGAAATAGAACACACATTCCAGTGTGATTACTGGTAAGTATATCTATAATTTTCTGTGTATGTTAAAAAACATTTTATTGAAGTTTTCTTAAATTATCTATCAAGGAATTTTGAAATGTTTATATATATATATATATATATATAAAATCCCTTAGCGTTCAGCAAATATATTTCAACAGTTATGCTTTTAAAAATTTTGATTGTATTAGTCAGTCTACTCACTCCTGTAAAGGATGCACACATGAAAAGACCTAGAAATAGCAAATGATTGTGAGAAGGAAGGCTTACGACTTTACATGCCTTCTATTGCTTTAAATGATTAAAACACTAATAGTTGTTGAATAAACAAATTTACTAATATTTGTATGTCAGAAGAGCATTTAACACACTTTGCATTGCTGTTCTAATTTAACTATAGTCATCTTCTAAAAATATCTCTAGTTAATGAAGGATTTCTTACCAAACAAAAGCCCTCAGCATTCAAAGTTACATATGCATAAACTTTAAGGTAACCAAGATTTCAGGTCTGAAAACAAAAACCAAGATAAAACATCAATCACTACATGTCAGTACAATATGGATAAGTAGCAGGGCTCAGAATTATATCTGCAACTCTTTCATGAACAATATTATTTCCATTAAAATTTCTATCCCATTATTTAAATAAAACAGATTAAAACTTCAAGAAATCATGAATCACTTGTTCCAAGTTTTGGCTCTGGATATATGGTTTCTGTTTTTCCATTCTGTAATTTTTCTTGCATGTGAGTATATATTTGATAAAGTGATTTACCCTGCGGTCTTGCTATATTCCAAATTCAATCTCATTTATGTTGTGCATGTTCAGTTTGAAAGTTAATTTTGAAAAGTACTCAAGTGCTTTTACATTTCCTTACCTGTCAATAAAATGTTCCACAATTTTTCCTCTTTAAACTCAATTGCATTCCAAAGGACTTTAAAATCAAGCTAATATGCATGAATACTTCCTTCTCTCACATAGTCATCCCAGCAAAGTTTTGTAAGATTCTCAGAACATAGACTCATAATCCATTGTAATGAAGTTTCTTCAGGCATAATTTTAACATTCCCTATTTATAAAGTGACTGGTAACCTTCCCTTAGTAATAGGAAATCTAGAGGGTAGAATGTAAAACTGATCGATTTCCATCCTTACTAATGCAGTACCAAACCCATTAAAAGTCTCCAAATATGTCAGAACTTATGATTCATTCTATCAACTTGCTAATAAGTGTTATTGATGCATAGGTAGTAGATATATAGTAGCTGAAATAGATCTGTAGTATATAAAAATGAAATAGAAGGATAAAATTATAGACCTAAGAAAAAATTCTATCATTCTTTCTTACCATATAAAATATAAATTATCAACATATCAGCATACTTTTTAAAATCTCCCTGTGTGGTGATATTTGTTTTTATTTACGTAATACAGAAAGACTGCATTATACATATGTAACATTTCTGTTTCTAATAATCGCAATAATTTCACATTATGGTTATGTAATGATTTGTAATTAATCCTGCCTACAGAGATATTTGAATACCCCTAAAATTTTAGGAAAATACAGATTACTTCAGTACTTATATATCGTTTCAAATACATCATTTCAAATACTTCTGAAATAGCTGTAAGTATTGAAATTACAAATTATTACACTTCAGGTGTATATTCTACCTAGATTTACCATTTTTGTAAATTCTTACAATACATGTGGATTAAAACCATCTTTATTTCTAAATTTAGAGTAAAAGAAAAAGGTAGGCCTTTAGTATAAAAACCAGCTTCTTGGTAGTGGAAGAACTTTTTATAGAGCCTTTCCTACCTGTTGTGGCAATGCACATCTATAATTTCAGTACTTGGTAAAGATGACCTATTCTTTTAGGCAGCTGAAGAACTGGCGATACATAATGAGACAGTGACTCAAAAACAGCAAAAACTAGCCAGCTGAATTCCATCTGTGGCTCACATCTCTAATCCTAGCTACTTAGGAGATATATGTAGAGGTTGTAAGCTAACCAGTGAATTAAAGTCCATGACACTTATCTCTAATTAACTAGCATAAAGCCAGGCTAGAAATGTGACTCAAATGGTAGAACACCAACCAGTTGCGCAAGTAAGCTGAACAAGTGCGAAGTCTTCAGTTCAAACCTAGGCAATTACAAAAAGTAACTACAAAAATGAAACAAAAGCAAACTGAAAACAGAAACAACACTTATAATAGTCTTATAAAAGGAGTGATGGTCATCATGAAGCATCATACAGAAAATAAGCTATTGAAATAATAATATTCTGATAACTTTTAGAAATATTTGATGGTAAAATCATATCTGTAATACATATAATTAAATACCTTTACTTACCCTAAAATTATAGTTAATTATAGTAAACTAGAGTAAGTCAATATTAATGCTGAATAATTTTGTTCTCCACAGAATATATTTCAAACTAAAAGAAATCTATCTTTCTTGAAAACATCATTCTATAGTAAATTCAGGCTTGACAATTGCATGTGTAATACATTTTTTTAAAAAAATGCATTTTACCAACCCTAGTCAGTAACTACATGTCCCCCACAAGGAAAACTTTCTGCATTATCATCTCAGTGTGACTAAGGATTTTTTTTGTTCCCATTTGATTATGAAACTGCTCATTTTTTTTTGATGAGGGGAAAATGTTCAGACCCAGCCCATGTTTCAAATATCCCTTTATGTTTTTAATAGCATAATTTCATCACTGAAGAATGCAAGCCCTGTGGGGCAGGGTCCAAATAGTCTCATCAAAGGGCACAAAGGGCAGATGTTATATGTAAGGGATTGGTTGGATTTTAAGTCATGCTCTGATAGTTTTGATTGGTCCAACTGATACAGAGAGAAATACACAGTACAGCATATGCCAGTATTTAAATTGCAAGTTTTATAACTCTGCCCCAAAGCATTCCAACTGGGGGTTGAAAGAATGCTTTTTGATTGCCTCTGTGATACAGACATGTCTGATAGAAAAGAAGATGTCTGTCACTGAACATTTTTGTCTCCGTGACGACCCTGCCTTGCCATACTCCCTTGTTTATTGCTGACTGTGCTCTTGTTTTCCTTCAAGGTCTGGCGCACCTGATGATGGGCGACCAAGGTATGGGCTCTGTTCCTTTTCCACTCTGCTTTCAGTGTTTTCTTGTTCTGTAGCTGCTTTCAAACCATCACTGCAAAAAAAAAAAAAAGTGTGGGCAAGTGCTTGCAAAGTATTTGGCTGCAAATGAAATACATCACTTTTGTTCACATTTATTTTTTCATGTGTCTCTCTCCTCTTTCTTTGTTGGCTTGGTTTTAATTTGCTCCTGTGGCTATTTATTTCCTCTACTCCTTGCACTAGAATATCTGCAAATAAGTGAGACATAAGGAATTGTGTTTCAAGATTTTTCTGTACATTTATCAGCATTTGCAGTTAAGGGTGGTTACAGGAAAGGAAAACCGAGACCATCTGAGGATAATACGGAAAGAAAATACCCAGTTTAACCTCTATACTAAAAAAAAGAGTCCATTTTTCATTCATGCATGGCAGTTTGGGAACATGCAGACATCATTAGCTTCTGGCTTCTAGAATGCTGAGTGTAGTCTCTCATGGAATCAATACTTTTCTACCTAGGGTCTTTGTGTATCTTGTGCAATATTTTATAAATGAGCATGGGCCTTCTAATTCCTTGCATGCACTTGCCTTAAAGGGGGCAGGATTGTTAGAATGTAATGATTGCCTCTCCATTGCTCTTCAAAACTTGGTTTATACTTTCTTGTCTGTTTAATTTTCAAAGAGCAATACACTTACATATATTCATAATTCTTATTGTTGTTTTTCTCTTCTCTATTCTCTTTGTCTGGAAAACCTTTCTTCATGGACCCATTCCATCAAATACGTAGGTAAAAGTAAAGGTATTACATTTTATTTTTTCCTAATATCCTCTGTATGAATTATAGTGTATCTAAATTTTGTGACATATTTAGACCTTTTGGCATTGGTAATGGGTACTGGGAGGTAGGTATATGTGTTAATATTTTTATGAATCTAAGGTAAGAAAAATCCATTAGTATATTTCTGTCTTGAACTCATCCCCTCTTTTTTTCTTCCTGAAAGTATTTAAATGTTGGCTGCATGATTAATATATTTAAAAAATATCTACAGGTTATGATTTCAGTTGTAGTGCCATTTAATGATAGTTACATGATAAGGGCAATCACCATAAATATATCCTCCTTAAACATTCAACATAGGTGGGACACATCTGACCCCCAGCCATTTTGGATTGAGACATAAATTTATGCATATGCAACACCAAAATCATCTCTCTATGGATGTGTCACTTTATTGTCTGGTAGATGTCATATGCACCTATTAATTCCAGGGGTGGTTGACAATACAGTATAGTGAGATATACAAGTAAAACAAGACTGCTGTTTCTAAAAACACACTAACTCATAATATTACCAACTCGCTTTACTTGATTAAGTCAGGCATGTGGACTTCAGAATAATGTTGATAGAAATCTCAGAGGCATGTTTAATTTTCCATTCAGGACCATCCACATTCTGTTTACTGTTGTCAGTATAATGAAGTAGGTGCTATATAGCTGTGGCAAATGTACAGGATAGTCTCTAACCATTTTGTGTGTGTGTGTGTGTGTGTGTGTGTGTGTGTGTGTGTGTGTGTGTGTGTAGTGTCTATGCCAGTCCTGGGGCTCTAATGCAGGGCCTGGGTACTGAGTTTTTCTGGACAAGTCACTCTACTACTTTGGCCACACAACTGAACTTCCAGCTTTTAAAAAAAATTTCAATTAATTGGACCTAAAAGTCCTATGAAATTTCCTGTCTGGGCTGGCTTTGAACCGCAGTCTACAGATTTCAACATCCTGAGTAGCTGGGATAATGGACATAAGCCACCAATGCCCAGCATCTAGCTATTTTTAACCTTGTTTTAGTGAATATTCCCTATGTCTCTAGTTTTAAAATTTCTACTATTTGGAACCTTAAACGTGAATTTGAATTTTATACTCTAAAATGCTAATTCAGGGGAAATGGCATTAGAATTCACAATTCTACAATTTTACCTTTTTGTCAGCCCGTAGGGGATCTTTTCTGCTTGAAAAAAACATCTGAACATGAGCTAAGCAAGAAGTAATAGAAATGCTATCAAAAATTTTAGCATATGAAATAGAGCTTTAGAAACAAATGCTATTTGAATACTTTCAGTGAATAATATGTACTATTGTAGTTTTTGCCTGACTACTATTTTATCATGTTAACATCTTTTAACACTGTAGCAACTATGAAACTTATCAGTATGTACCAAATCTTTTAAGGATTTTTGTTATTTATGGTACGTTTGTATAACTTTTACCTTCAGCCAAATTCTCACTGATTGGTAACTTTCTGAGTACTTCCCCTATGTTGTAGTACATAGACCTAGGGTGTGGTATGCTTATAGTGTGCTTCCTGGCTGAATAAAGTATATTTGTTTGTATATTGATATGTATCTATTTGTATGAGTGTGCATATACCTACACAGGTTCTAAGAGTATATACTGTAAATGTTCACTATGAAGAAGTAATTCTTTATATGATTTTTCTAATTAGCCATGTAACTCCACATGTACAGTAGCTCATGTCTGTGTTCAATTGATACCTGCTCAATGTAATTAATGTTGAGTGTCACTTAACTTCATTCTGTTTTATTGTGTCCATCTTGGGTGTTTTCTGTTATGTACAAAATACTCTTTCATTTCACTGTTTTTCATCAAATTTTGTCCCTTAGTCAGCACAAAACCAGGAGTAATACAATTTGTGATTTCTATTGTGTTCTTTACATTAACTTTGTTTTATGACTAGCATCAGGATACTTTTCTGTGGAACCTGGGAAAAATAATTTTAAGATGGACTTGAGCATTTAGAAAATCAGAGTGGCTGGCATTACATGCTGGTTACTTAGATGTGTTGATATGAGAAATATGATTTGTCAGTCTTTAATTGTGCATTAAATCAACAAATCACTTAGAGCCAAAATACCATCATCGTTTTGTCAGGGCCTCACATTGAAAGAATGTTAGCAGAGAAGAGATTGCAAAGGCATGGACAAGTTAGTACCAGTGGCAAAAAGGCAGTGAGCGTGGTACTGAGTATGGTAGGAATTCACAACAGTTAAAGATGACTCAATTTAGGGTCTCTGATAGGCAAATAGATTTGTTTTTGTAACCTATGGTATTTTTTTTAAAGTCTAAACACTGTATTTTATAGCCCTGCACATATAAGTAAATCTTAGCCAGAATAAAATACCACATTTTTGTATCAACTTATTGATGCAAAAGATATACACAATAAATATAAGGATATACATAATGATGTACATGGTAAAAAAATGGTGAGGACAGAACTATGGGGACTTTCTCCTCAACATTTATTTTTTTTCTTCCATGGAGCAGTGAATTTAGAATTTTTGGGATGAACTTCCTTTTTTGTGAACCCAGAAGTAAAACTGAATTCAAGGACATCATTGGTATCATTAGAATTTCTTCTACATGGATTCTTAATATTTCCTGAAATTGTCAATGTCCATTTAACAAAAGTAATTGACATTTGTATAAGAGAACAAGTTTTTGACAACAGTTATCATTTTCTCTGTTCCTTTGTTGTAACCTTCTGGGATTGGTGTGAATCCTTCCACATGTCATAATGTCTCAGGGTTTGGAATCTGCAAAATACTTTACCTTATCGGCATGATGAAACACCTAAGTTGGACTCAGACATGGAGTGGTCAGTAGTTGTATGTTGTCACAAAGAAGGAAATGCAAGCCTTTCTCAAAGGCTATGGTAGCCAAATAGTTTCAATTGGTTTTTCTGTTTCAAACGCTAGAGTCAATAATTTGGATGTGTTTTATTTTTATGATCTCTAAACAAGAATATGGCACATTTAAATAGATATGACCTAGGATTCAATTTTAGTTAGAGAAGTTTAGCTTTCTGTAAAAGAGCTCAAGATGTGGTACTCAGAGCCAACTGTATGGATGTTTGTGGACAGTTGAAATTTTGCTTGATTAAAAAATTAATTTGTCACCATTATTAAATCACTAATAACAATAGTTTCATTCTACTTTTTACTTACAATGTCAGTTCAATTATTTGTCTGGAAATGTAGCCTTTCCTTCTTTTTTTCCTGAATTTTAACTGTTCTTTACATTCTAACAATTGGTTGTTTGCTTGTTTGTTTTTGTATACCTTACTATAGTTGCTTTGTAAATCAAATGAATGACTATTTAAATGAGGAAAAGCCAAAGTAGTTTATATTTGAAAATCCAGCCATAATAGCTGGTTAGTTGCTGAGGAACATAGATTAATTATCATTAGTTAACTGTGTGTGCTTGGATTAAATGCTTATGTTTCAAACATTATTGTAATTATTTATATTTTAAATTATATTTAATGTCAACTCTTCCTAGTAGAGTGTAAGCTCTAAGAGAGCAGGAAGTTTGTGTTTCTTATTGACTATTGTGCTTCCAAACATTTTTGTTACTGTAACTTAAATGTGCCCTTTCCCTGACCTAAGCATAATGGAAATAACTTGGAAAAGAAAGGAGAAAACTCAAAATACACAGAGTGAAAAGGGAAGAGGAACTTTACTCAAATAAAAAAAGTGAGTTGTATCAAGTGCCTAAAGGGGGGCACTCTCTGTCTCTGTTGCTAACTTGTCTTTTTGTTCCTATCTTTTATATTTTTTGTGAAGATTCTCCTATATTTCTTTCTAGCAAATCCTCATTCTACTATCATATACATATCTTAGCCCACACAAATTAATAGGACTGGAAGGAAATAAAGTCATTGTAGTTTTGTAAGTATTGGTTTTCAGTGTTTTTGTGGGGTTTTCTTGTGTGATTTTTTTGTAATGCAATTCGCTGTCATAGGGATAGATAACTAAATTTTACCTTTAGATATTTATATGCGTGAGATAATAGGTACATGAAATTTGCCTAAAATTGAAATGGGGTGTTATACTATCTTATATAAACTTTTCCTTTTGTTTTTTAAACTGTATTTCAATCTGATGTGTTGTAACGCCCAACTATATTTAAATTACGTATGAATAGTGAGCTGTCTGAAAAGTCAAAATCTAAATTGTCTTATAATAAAACCATATTCATTAGCTTGCATTTATACATAATAATACATAATTTATACAAAACAAATACATAAATATTTGCACAATATTTTCATAATGAATGTCTGAGTCTATCAAATGAATACTTCTTTTTTGATTATTTATGATTCTTGTGATATTGGAGACCAAATGTTATAAGTAGAATTGGTAAGCATACAGATGCACATTTCTAAAATGAGTTTTATTTTTAGTGTTATAGTGAAATTTTCACATCAAACTTAATCATTTATCAGAAAAATAAAAATGAAATTTTTCAAACTATCTTATTAATATCAGGATATAGCTGATTTATTTACAACTAATCAATAACATATATATCATATTTTTGTGTATTTTTAAACTTTATCCATAATGCTATGTCACAATTATTTTATACTTGCGCTTAAAATTGGTATTTTAGTCCTGAGAGAAAAGTAAATTATTTGGTGATGTTAGGTTTTATTTTTTCTCTCAGTCAGCTATGGCTGGTATAACATAGTAACAAAAACCAGGGAGCAAAAATTTCTTACTAATGTAGCATCTGGGAAATACACAACCAAGGTGCAGGTGTGTTTTATGCCTGTTGAGACCCAGGTTTATAGAATGTAGTCTGCTTTCTATTCCCCCATGTGGTAATTGGAGCCAAGAAAGCCCTCCATTATAATGTTACTGATCTCATTATAAGGGTTCTGGATCATGGCCTACTCACTCTCCTAATGAGTCCCTGGAATCTAACCCCTGGGGGAATAGA